ATATTGATAATAATATTTCTTGAGCACCAAATCAGAATGTTTTCTGAAGGATCATGTGACACTGAAGACTGGAGTAACAGCTGCTTTGCCAGCACAGGAATAAATCATTTAAAAAATATATATATATTAAAATAGAAAACTATTTTAAATTGTAATGATATTTCACAATATTAGTGCCTTTACTGTATTTTTGATCAAATAAATGCAACCTTGGTGAGCATAAGAGACATCTTTCAAAAACATAAAAAAGGACCTAGTTTGAAAGGTATTGTACCTGCAATTTATTTATTTATTTATATTTTAGGTGCATCTTACAAAAACTGTAAAGAATATCTGTTTAATCCTAATATCAAAAGAATGAAATGTAGAAATGATATTTTGTTTAAGAAAAATTAAGCTTGTTTTTCATTATCCCCCAATCCCCCATCTCACTACCTGGAAAAAAAAAAAATCTGGACTACTACTATAATTAATATATTATAATTAATAATAATAGTAATGTAATTGCTGACATTACTGGAATATATTATTTCACATTTAACTCGTAAATTACTTGTTGTAATGCCTTTAATGCATATTTAAGTAAATACATTTATTATTATTTATGTTACCATTTAAAAAATTACTTTTAAAAATATTGCATTACAGTAAAGAGAATCTAATGAGAATCACTATTGAGTATAATGACAATTACAAAAAAAAAACATGAGGTAGAAATACAGATGCATTATGGTAATAAGATTTTTTTTGTGCTTCCTTGTCAATAAAAATATCATTATTAATGCAAAATAAAAAATTATTTGCACAAAATTGGCTTACGTTTTAGGCAAATAAATAAATATAATATTTTATATAAAATGAAATATATACAGTACTTACATAATTATGTAATAAAAATGTAATAAATTTAATTTTGACTGTAGTGAAATGTAATCCAGACATGTTTTCACGACGTTCACCCTCCAAGAAGCCTTTAATTATGCATGCTATTGATGATTGTATTCTGTTGTTTTTGTTGCCATTATTTTAAGGCACATGTTGTTCTTATTAATATTTATAATGCCATTCTGTATGAGCTGTTATTGACTACAGAAAAATAAGAGAAGCTTTGAACCAACGAATCAGCAGTCAGCTCCTGTTTCAGTCTCATATCACGTTTGTTTCTCTGATGCTGTATAGGGAGAGGATAGTGAACACCAGCCGTCCAGGAGAAATGCAAGTCACCATTCAGAACCTCATGCCAGACACCAAGTACTCCTTCCGCGTGGTGGCCCACAACAGGAACGGCCCTGGAGAGAGCTCAGCGCCTCTGAGGGTCGCCACCCAGCCTGAAGGTAAGATCTCCACTTCCTGTTAACATACTTTTTCAACCAGAATGTGTTCAAAATTAGATTTATGGACTAATTAAAATCTGATGTTTACTGACTTAACACAGTTGCATTACGAATTAAGCTCTAATGGCTATAATGCATGAAATCAAGCTTGCGTAGCTAGTGTCTCACATGCTTTTTAAGAATATGTTTTGGGCCTATGAGATTACGCTGAACATTTTCTCTGGAGGTTTTCTTTCCCAAAACCTCCCCAATGCCTCCATGTCAGTTTAAAATCTCATTATATAGGTAAGCACAAGTAAACATCTGCTGGCTTTTAAGCAAATACTACACCTCTTGAACATCGCTGAAGGTATATGGCCAGACTCCATCAACATGAAACATTATCAGCCCAGACACAGCACAGGAGAAGCGGTTTCTGGGTCAGACTTGCTCCTCTGTGCGTCCTTGGCTCTGACTGCTAAAGTTATCTTTTAATAATCTTTTGTTGTGATTTAAAGTACACATATTTTGATGTGTTGACTAACATACAAAAGCACATGAAAAGTATTTGATTATGATTTGAACAGTAGTGTGTTATTCAGTATTACTGTTTAAAGGTGATATGTTTTAAATGTGTACTAAATTGCAACAAATCTGTAATTACAAATATATTTAAATGCATCAAATACAAGTTTCACTAGAAATAGCATTAAAGTATATTTGAATTTATCATAAATGCTTGTCAGTAATTTTGGCAGTACACATTACTGCCCATATTTCGAAGACAGTATAAGTAATTATGAAATTGCATATGAAGATGTACAAAAAGCTCTCTAAAGTTCAGCTAATTGCATTTATGGTAATATGAATTTAAACTATAATACATTTTCATGTAATTGCAATTAACATGCAGTTCAGTTCGCAATTAAGCATTTTCTATTCTAAGTATATTATTTCTGTAATACATACTTGTTTTAAAATAATGCCAAAGTGTGCTTTTTTTCACAGTGGTGGTCACTCTATGCTTTTGTTTAATGAAAACGAGCAGCATGAACATTATTCATAATTTCTTCTTTTGGGTTACATGGTACATGTAGTAAATTATGAAAGAATCCATTTTTGGTGAACTATTCCTTCAACACCAGGATTCTCCAGTGGGATTGTTCCTGTAATAAGTGTATTGTGGGTCGCTTTGGATAAAAGTGTCTGCTAAATGACTACATGCTAACTTATTTACAAATTGGCCAGTTGTTTTATGTCCATACTATTTAAATTATACTATATTTCATTTAATGTAGAGCTCAGTTTAGATTGGCCCTACATGATGACTCCCTGAAGGCATGTCAGTTGTGAGCGTGTTAGAAAAACAACAGATTTAACGGACACTCATCGGAGCCTATAATTGAATGTAATGATTCATGACCCTAGCAAGTAAACAAAAGTTAAGCAACATAGAATCTCATTTCCATTCTCTCCGCTCTGCTAAGGAAATTAAATAACGTCAGTCTTGCAGTTTGAGCTGGCGTGTGTTAGTCTGTTTTCTGCCATGCCACTGTCATATGCTCAGCCGAGAAGAGATAGCTCTCTCTATTCGAGAGATTTCATTTCCTCTATTCGAAAAACAGTGATAGACAAAAAAGGTGCCAGTAATAAAACAAAACAAGACAAAACATAACATTTCTGATTTTATTTTCTTCCTATTTAATAGTCCAGGTACCTGGTCCTGCTCCAAACTTACAGGCAGTGGTCACATCCCCCAGCACAGTGAGTCTCAGCTGGGACATGCCCCTCACAGGCAATGGCGAGATCCAAAACTACAAAATCTACTACATGGAGAAGGGCATGGACAGTGAGCAGGTAAAAGCATCTTCACCCAGCCTCTGTAATATCATGGATAAAAGCATTGTGATATTTGATAATGCATGTGAAATGTTCATGGTGGAGAACAGATCCTGAGCACAAGCTTTTGTATATTTTTATACTAGATTTTGTTTATTTTTATATTAGTGAAAACTTCTAGCCCAATTCCAAATATAAAGATTCATGTATATGTTGTTTTTTATAATATTCATATTAGTAACTACATTTTCATGTATTCCTTTAGCGGATGGTTTTATCCAAGGCTTCCTAGTGAGGAGTGTATAAATATTTGTAAAAATCTCTCTCTTTTCTATCAGGATCTGGATGTGAGCACACTGTCCTACACCATGACTGGACTGAAGAAGTTCACAGAGTACAGTTTCAGAGTGGTGGCCTATAACAAGCATGGACCTGGAGTGTCCACCGAGGACATATCCGTGCGCACATACTGTGATGGTACTTATAATAAATCTTGTCTTTTTGTTTTGTTTTGCTAGTCAGTTTCCTCCATTCTGCCCCAAACCCCTGCACTTTTTTGCTCCTCAAAATAATCACAATAAGGGGTCTCCTACAAGAACTCAACTAGGCAATAAACAAAATCAGCAGTAAGCCAACTATCATCTATATCCCTGTTGTAGTTACATCAACAGAGCAATATCACCAGGGTCCAAAATTAACTTTATGCCACACTTGTCAGTTGTGAGTGAATTGACCTGTCAGTGAAATAAAAAAATATATATAAAATTGCTGGGCATAAAAATGTTACCACCCATGAAACTTTATTCTGTAGTTATTACTGTATACTTCAACTGGGGACTCGTGAGCTTCTAGCCACCTGTTAAAAGTCTTATGCTCACTGTAAAATTATTCTTCCTAGGCCATTTTTCTTACAGTTTCTGTGAGATGGTGTCAATTACCTTTTCTAAATTGTGTTGGTGAAAATGGCATTAAAATGCCATGATGTAGTGCTATGAGATATGTGAACTTGGACCACAAAACCAGTCATAAGGGTCAATTTTTCGAAATTGAGATTTATACATCATCTGAAAGCTGAAATAAGCTCTCCATTAATGTGTGGTTTGTTAGGATAGGACAATATTTGGCCGAGATACAACTATTTGAAAATCTGGAATCTGAGGGTGCAAAAAAATCAAAATATTGAGAAAATCGCCTTTAAAGTTGTCCAAATGAAGTTCTTAGCAATGCATATTACTAATCAAAAATTAAGTTTGAATACATTTACAGTTGGAAATTCACAAAACATCTTTATGGAACATGATCTTTACTTAATATCTTAATCATTTTTGGCATAAAATAAAAATCAATAATTTTGACCCATACAATGTATTTTTGGCTATTGCTACAAATATACCCCAGCGACTTAAGACTGGTTTTGTGGTGCAGGATCACATATATGAAAGAAGCCATGGACAGTGGTGAAATGTACAGTTTAGTAGTCAGTATATATAAATATTTGGCCGCTCAATGCTGGTATTGACCAGAATCAGAATCCAGTCCACCAGAGAGCCATTTAAGACCAAACACTACAGACAAATCCATTGTTCATTCAGGCTCTGCTCAGTTTTGAGATGTTGTCTTCTTTCAGTCTAGTGGAAAGAAAATATCCAAAATGTACATTCATTTGTTATGTCATTACACTTTATCTATTTGTGTCTGTGGATTTCAGTTACAATACTTATCTTTAAAGGCTATTTTCTCAAAATGAGTTTTTTTCTCATGCAATGAGCCTGAAATCTAGACTTCAGTAGGACTTACATACACAAAACTTGACAGTTTTGTTCCTGTCTATATTCTGAAGGTTTTTACTGAAGGGTTTGCACATATAACATTCACATAATTTAACATTAATTTAACATTTCAGGCTGTATTTTCTAATTTATGGAGCAATAAAAAGAGAGATCCCACCAGTAAAAGCCTTTAACTCTAATATGTCAGCAAAAAAAATTAACCAGGTTTTATGCAATATTCAGTTTATTGTTCTAGAAATATATGCAAATTAGTGTATATTTAATTAGATAATGCAACATTTGCATATTTGAACATAACATTACAGAAAACTTGTAAAAAAAAAAAAATTGTCTTAAAGGCTTCATTTGCCCCAAAAATTTAAATTTTGTGATCATTTTCTTACCATGTTCAAGTTGTTCCAAACCTGTATGAGTTTATTTCTTCTGTTGATTACAAAAGAAGATATTTTGAAGAATGTAGGTAATTAAACAGTTGACGGTAGCCATTGACTTGCATTGTACTGTATACTGTGGAAATCAATGGCTACTGTCAACTATTTGGTTACCAAAATTCTTCAAAATTTCTTAGAATTTTCATTTTGGGGTGAACTATCCCTTTAATGTGTTGTGAATAATAAACTGGGGAAACATTAACATTAGTTAAACATTTGAGCCTGTTCACCTCAGTGCCTTGCCTTAAAGGTGACATATCATGAAAATCTGACTTTTCCAGGTTTTAAGTGCTATAATCAGGTCCCCAGTGCATCTACCAACCAAGGAAACGTGAAAAAGATTAACCCAGTAACGATGTTTTGGGAAGCCTTTTTCTGCAAGCGTCTGAAAAAACGAGCGTGTCAGATTTCGCTCCCTTGGTGACGTGGCAAAGGGATCTCATTATAATATTACCGCCCCTTAATCTGTAAGTTTACACGCATGGCACCGTTATTGTGTTTTCACAAGCGACCACAGTGTACTAGTTCTAATGCCATGGCGAAAGTTTGAGCAAAACAACACTCGTATGGTTTAAAATGCATTATTTCAACGCGATAAACATCAGAACCAAAACAGATGTTTAGCAGGTACGAGCTGTAATGGCGCAGCTCTATTCTGGAAAAGGGGGCGGGGAGCAGCAGCTCATTTGCATTTAAAGAGACAGTCACAAAAAACAGTGCGTTTCTGCTTCCACTCAAAATAGGCATTTTCATTCAGATATAATAACTGTGGAACTGAGATAAAGTGATATCTCTCTGTCATTTGAGATGCCAGAGATGCGTGATCAGAGTTTGAAAAGTGATTCATGTAAGACACCAAATGCAGTTTATTTTAGAGCTCGAGCATGAAAGGTGGTTCAGGGTAACCAAAACTGGATGAATGTATTTAAACAGTTGTTGCAAACATGTGGCGAAGTGGCTAGAACTTGCTGGTTGTTTGTTGCTGGTCCAAGCCCCTGTGGAACCCAAAAGGAGAGGTTTTGAGGAGCATTCATGCTGCTCTTCCCCGTACAATGAAAGTATAGTGACCAGAGACTGTCATGTTCCAGAAAGGACATAAAAGCACCAAAAAGGAAGTTCGTACTATTTGTAGGTTATATTTCAAGCCATATGGTCACTTTATGGTGATTTTTAGCAAATAATGACCTATATTTTAGCCTGTTTCTCATATAAAACAATTTTTTGATGGCATTTTGTAATTTTTGGGGTCTTGATAGTCCCTGCATTTGTGAAAAAAAGTTGTGCTTAATTGTATTGAATGTGCACTTGTAGTGTATTTCAAATCTTAAAAATATATTTTTAAAAAGCTTGCACTTGCAGATAATATAATATTAATACAAATAAAAGGCCTCTTATGTGTACTTAAAGAGAATACACTTTCACACTAAAGTACATTTTTAAAAAGTGCACTTTGTAATAATGTCAAATTAAAAGTTCTACTTTAAAGTACATTTTAATCATTATCTTTTAATAATCTTTTGTTGTGATTTAAAGTTCACATATTTTGATGTGTTGACTAACATACAAAAGCACATGAAAAGTATTTGATTATAATTTGAACATTAGTGTGTTATTCAGTATTACTGTTTAAAGTTAATATGTTTTAAATGTGTACTAAATTGCAACAAATCTGTAATTACAAATATATTTAAATGCATCAAATACAAGTTTCACTAGAAATAGCATTAAAGTATATTTGAATTTATCATAAATGCTTGTCAGTAATTTTGGCAGTACACATTACTGCCCATATTTCGAAGACAGTATAAGTAATTATGAAATTGCATATGAAGATGTACAAAAAGCTCTCTAAAGTTCAGCTAATTGCATTTATGGTAATATGAATTTAAACTATAATACATTTTCATGTAATTGCAATTAACATGCAGTTCAGTTCGCAATTAAGCATTTTCTATTCTAAGTATATTATTTCTGTAATACATACTTGTTTTAAAATAATGCCAAAGTGTGCTTTTTTTCACAGTGGTGGTCACTCTATGCTTTTGTTTAATGAAAACGAGCAGCATGAACATTTTTCATAATTTCTTCTTTTGGGTTACATGGTACATGTAGTAAATTATGAAAGAATCCATTTTTGGTGAACTATTCCTTCAACACCAGGATTCTCCAGTGGGATTGTTCCTGTAATAAGTGTATTGTGGGTCGCTTTGGATAAAAGTGTCTGCTAAATGACTACATGCTAACTTATTTACAAATTGGCCAGTTGTTTTATGTCCATACTATTTAAATTATACTATATTTCATTTAATGTAGAGCTCAGTTTAGATTGGCCCTACATGATGACTCCCTGAAGGCATGTCAGTTGTGAGCGTGTTAGAAAAACAACAGATTTAACGGACACTCATCGGAGCCTATAATTGAATGTAATGATTCATGACCCTAGCAAGTAAACAAAAGTTAAGCAACATAGAATCTCATTTCCATTCTCTCCGCTCTGCTAAGGAAATTAAATAACGTCAGTCTTGCAGTTTGAGCTGGCGTGTGTTAGTCTGTTTTCTGCCATGCCACTGTCATATGCTCAGCCGAGAAGAGATAGCTCTCTCTATTCGAGAGATTTCATTTCCTCTATTCGAAAAACAGTGATAGACAAAAAAGGTGCCAGTAATAAAACAAAACAAGACAAAACATAACATTTCTGATTTTATTTTCTTCCTATTTAATAGTCCAGGTACCTGGTCCTGCTCCAAACTTACAGGCAGTGGTCACATCCCCCAGCACAGTGAGTCTCAGTACGAGCTGTAATGGCGCAGCTCTATTCTGGAAAAGGGGGCGGGGAGCAGCAGCTCATTTGCATTTAAAGAGACAGGCACAAAAAACAGCGTGTTTCTGCTTCCACTCAAAATAGGCATTTTCAAAATGATATAATAAATGATCTGTGGAGTATTTTGAGCTGAAACTTCACAGACACATTCTGGGGATACCAGAGACTTACATTACATATTGTAAAAAGGGGCATAATATGTCTACTTTAATAAAAGCTGAGGATATGTGAACTAATACTCTTCTCCCTCTGTTCAGTCCCCAGTGCTCCGCCACAGAACATGACGTTTGAAGTGCTGAACTCTAAGGTAAGGCTGTATGACTGCCAGGTTGTATGGGCTCGGGCCGTGTGCCACCAGCTGCTGCTGGGTAAAGTCTACAGTAGTTCTGCTAAAGGCGCTCATCTGTTGCTGTGATTTAACTGCGATGAGCAGCACATCTGTGCTCGGCTAGAATACTGTCACAGAGCTTTACATCCTCATTCATTCTTCCTCTGTGTTCACCTCCCCGTCTTTCTCGAGATACAATTTATATTTGTCTAGCTGCCGGGGAATACGAGTCTTCCTCCTGTTGTTTTTATTCATGAGTCTGTTTATGTTTCTAGTCATATGTAGACAAGTGTCTTGGGCTGCAATAATGCATTTAGCACTTTTATTTCATCGTATTTGCTAGGGCAAGCATGACTTTTGCTTTTGCACATCCTTGGAATTTCAACAAACCCCAGAGCCAAAGTATTAAAGTCACCGTGAAATCAAAACTGACAATTCTTATTTATTTATTTTGGAATATATTATGGCTGGATTGTTAATCGGGCATTTTCCCGGTGGGCCGACGCACATAAGGGGCCGACAGAATTTTTTTTATTTTTTTGCCAAGGACCATCACGCAGGGACAGCGAGCAGCCAGTGGCCCATTGGTTTGTCTCCTGTATTGACAGCGTAACAACACTTTTTAATAAAACGTAAATTCGTCCCCCATGATTTTTTTGGCCAAGTCAAGTGTGTTCATAGAGGTTTCCTGGGCCAATGCAAATAAATCTAGATTTAAATTAAAAAAGACACGATATTGTCGGACCTGATGTTTTATTCTTATCCCAAAAACCTAGATGCACTGATACATATCTACACTACCAGTTAAAAAATTTGAACAGTAAGATTTTTTTTTTTTTTTTAAGAATTCTCTTCTGCTCACCAAGCCTGCATTTATTTGCTCCAAAGTACAGCAAAAGCAGTAATATTTTTACTATTTAAAATAACTGCTGTCTATTTTAATATATTTTAAAATGTAATTTATTCCTGTGATCAAAGCTACATTTTCAGCAGTTGAGTACATGTTTTTCAGGATTCTTTGATGAATAGAAAGATCCAACGATCAGCATTTATCTGAAATGAAAAGCTTTTGTAACATTATACACTATACCATTCAAAAGCTTGGAGTCAGTATAATTTTTATTTATTTATTTTTTTTTTTGGGGGGGGGACAGATAAATGCTGGCAGTGGTATAAATGCTATTAAGAACAGATAAATGCTGTTCTTCTGAACTTTCTATTCGTCAAAGAAACCTGAAAAATTTCTACTCAGCTGTTTTCAACATAATAATAATAATAAATGCTTTTTGAGCAGCAAATCAGAAAATTAGAATGATTTCTGAAGGATCATGTTACACTGAAGAC